AAAGCATAATTGTTCTCAATTCTCTTAGATATGCTGTAAAAGTTTGGCTTTCAGATATGAACAATACCATTTTTATCTGGCAATCATGTTTTAGTCAAAGTACATATGCTTGTAGTTTATTTATTTATGCAATCGTACTCCTTGTCTTACATTGAGATAGTGTGGTTCGTGGTGTCTCGAACATAAAGGTCACCTGTCGGTTTCTTGTAAGACTAAATTATTCGTTCACAGTCTAGACTGGCAGTGAGACCCCACTTGAAAAAAGACTGTAGTGTATTCTTGAGTCAGTTGATCTTTGACTGGAGAACTACACTAGTACTTATGTTAAGTATTGAACAAGACCACGGAAGGATAAGATTATGAGACTCACTGACCGTTATTATAATCTAGACCTTCAGTGATTGATGCGTACTCTAAAGCTGTAAGATAATATAAAATGGGCATCTATATTTATTACTCATTTATTTGATTTACCAAGGGTGATTCCTATTCTGTTAGGATGACATACTCGATACTTTGGTAAATGAGGATATTTATATAGTGTGCTGTTATAAATTATTTACGGTCATTATGTTCCACTGCAGGATTGATGACGTCCCCGAAATGAGCTCAGAAAGGAATATTATGTTAAACCCTGCAGGTGGATGATTATCCGACATAATGATTAAAGATCTGAGTGGTACTAATTTCGGAAATGAATAAGAAGTTGATTAATTACTTTGTCAGTAATTTAATTAAACGACGGACGTTATATCTTAAACATAGAGAGATAAATCGGTCAATTAGATTAATATTTATTAATCAAGTGGAGGTTTGATTTAATTGATTAAATTGGAGTTAAATGGGGAGAGCAATAATAATACTCTAGTGGGATGTATTATTATTTAATTTTAATTAAGATTTTAGGAATTAATTTTATTCCATAAATAATATTCCATTAGTAGGAAAATATTCCTTCTAAAATGTTACCTAAGGTTAGGAGACTAAAGAGTCTTCTAGAAGGTGATGTTGGGAAGAAGGAGTTTTATCTTAGAATGGAATAGCATATGGAGTGGAATGTGGGATAAGCCCATATTTAGCACCTGTTTAAGGTCCCTAATGGAGTCTATAAATACACCATGTTCCAACCTCTTGTACATACTTTATGTTGGCCGATTTTTCTTCTTCATAAGAGAGGGAAAGTTGTCTTGTTCGAGTGTTTGGGAGATTCAATTAATCGCACCACCAAGATTAATTGAATTAGGTGTTTAGGTAATCCATTAGAAGATTTTAAGGTGATATTTATCAAACCTTAAAGCTCTATTAATTCCGGCCACCTGCCACCGTCGACCTCTACCGCCGCCCATCGCTGCCGAGAATCTTCCCGAGCCCAGCCGCACGCAGCCGCGAGCCAAGGCCAGCAACCGCACGCAATCGAACCTCGTGAACAGGTCCCAGCCATGACGCCCAGTTCCTCCGCGCATCACATGCACGCTGATTCCGTTCGCCCTGCTCGTGTCCTGCGCGACCCGACGATCCTGATTCCAGCGTCCGTGTCCCACGCGCTCGCTATCCCGCACCGACCAGGAGTCCTCGCGCACATATGACTCGTGCCCTGCACGCCCGCGTGAGCCCAGAAGCTGCCCGCGCCTAGTCTGCACAAGCCTAAGTCTCCTGTGCCACATGCGCCCGCGCTACCCACGACAGCCAGTCTGCGCCTCTTGTTCGCGCGTCAAGTTCATGTCGCGCAACACGCGGTCCCGACTAGCACCTGACCGCGACCGAACCGCTGCACCTGACCAACCCGAGACGTGAACCGAGGCAGCCCGAGCCCGACAAGTTCGATCTGGTGATCCGTTCATGATTCAACACTCGATCAGAATCGAGAAAGACCAAACCCTTCAACCGATTGGGTTGTGGTAATCAGACGATCTCCATCAACGGAAATTAGAAACGTCTCTGAGTCGGCAAAAATTTTAAAACGTAATGTCCTAATCCTAACTATAGATTCCACTGCGTTAGGATTTATTTCGATAAGCTCAGTACTGTGCATGTCGTTGGCGTTCTTAATAGAACCCAACAACTGGTATCAGAGCCTAGATTAATTCAACTTTGTGCACAGTTTGAATTAGGACTTACCTGTTTACATGAATTAATTGTGTAAGGACGCAGCGGCATAGTAGATTAGAAATTGCAAATCATTTGCAGGTGATTTCGAATCCGACTATTATGGCCCGTATGTATGGTTTTAATTCATGTATGAATGTATGGTGTTTTATAAGCCTCGGACATGTCGAGGAGTTATTGGGTTGGTAAATGCTTGTAATAAATTATTCGCGTGGTGGGACACCGCATAGTTTACTGCTTTCTTAGAAAACTCATGTACGACTTTTGTACGGGTCACAGGATAAATTATGTAATTGTTGTTTTATATTATTCGTTATTGATCCGGCCGATGTGGACCAACCTCGATGGGGCGAGGCGATAAACACAACAGACGGATGCCATGGTGATGATCCAATGGCGACTTTCCCGGAGACAACCTATTCAGAATGAAGTGTGGGAGTCACTGTGAAAGGGGTGTTCCAATTCCTGAAACGGAAGACACATTCAACAAAGGACAGAATTGTGTTTAATACATACACAATATATTTCAATTGAGTACATTAGACAAATTGACAATTTAATACAAGTTTAATACATACACAATAATACATAAAAAATGCACTATACTATCATATTTATATTTCAATAAAAAATCATAGCCTAATATTTTCATACAAACATATATATTTTTAATATAGTTTGATTTTTATTGTGATTATTTAAATAAAAAAAATGACATCGTATCGAAATAATTGATATATAAAAAAATAATAATAATAATAAAAACAAAATATAAGATTTCGTACTGAAATTATGTTCGTTAGTCTCATTCGATTTTGTGCAATATGGTAGTCAATTATGTGCAATTTTTATAATCATAATGTGGAATCGCAATACATGCAAAAATATAGATAAAACATAGTATTATTTTTTCATAAAAAATAAAATAAAATAAAAATATAATATGTTTTCATATAATTCGGCACATGCAGTTATTTTATTTATTTAAAAATAATAAATCCGACAATTAACCAACTAATATTATTCGATCGATTAGCAAAATTAATGAATTTTTAGTACGTGCAGCGTGTCGTTTTATACGGTGCAACATGTTGTGTTATAAGGTGCAATGCATTAATATATAAAGAGTAACGTGTTAATTTTAGTACGTTATCAATAAAAATATAGATAAAAAAAGTATTATTTTTCATAAAAAAAAAATTGCTTAGATTTTTTTTTTCATATAATTCGGCATATTTGGTTATTTTATTTATTTAAAGATAATAAATCCGACAATTAACCAATTAATATTATTCGATCGATTAGCAAAATTATTGAATTTTTAGTACGTGTAGCGTGTCGTTTTATACGGTGCAACATGTTGTGTTATAAGGTGCAATGTATTACTATATAAAGTGCAACGTATTAATTTTAGTACGTTAGCATGCTTGTGTGTTAAATACACTATGTGATAATGTGCAACGTATTATTTTATAAAGTGCGACATTTTGCTATATAAAGTGCACTAGCTAATTTATACTCTCCCAAATAAATTATGTGTATAATTGTACATTGCATTAACCTAAATAATTAAAATAACTTTTTATTTATTATTTTCATTATATAATTTATTTATAATTACAAAATATTTTTATATTATTTTAATATCTTATATTATTTTTATTTAACAAATTATTTATTATTATATATATATATATGCATAACAAAACATATAAACAAATAATTTATTTATTAACTTTCAATAATTACAGATTTGACACATGGGTTAAATTGAAATATACTTACAGTTATTAAAATTGCAAATAGATCCCTATACATTATCTAATTCTCAAAAAATATGCCCAATCCTACAATCAATTTTTCAGATTTCATCTTGCCCTAACACCACCTCTCTAAATTCATCTTCATCCTCACCACCTCACCTGCCGTCGCCCAGCCCTCTCTGGTCGCGACTTTCGGCGTCCATGGGTGTTGTGTCTGGTGGAGACGGCTCTTCAGGTACGTTGGTGGCAGGAGGCGGTCGACGGTGGAGGAGCTCTCAGACGGGTTGGCGGCTGACGGCGTTCGACGTGGAGCCGCCGAAGATGCAGACGCCTTCGCCTGCGGCCGTCGGAGACGCAGAAGTTGTTGTTCACAGCGCCTGCTTGCGGTGGTCGACGGTAAGCTAGAGAGAGCGGGCGGAGGGCGATGCGGCGGCGGACAAGCGGTGGCGACGGCGGACAGACGGTGGCGACGGCAGACATACGGTGGCGACGGCGGACGAGAGGTGGCGGACTAACGGTGGTTTTGCCATGACTCTGTGCGTGTGTGTGTTCTTCCATTTTTGTGTGTGTGTGTGAGAGAGAGAGAGAGAGAGAGAGAGAGAGAGATAAAGTGTGTGTGGGGTTGGGGTGGGGTGGATGGGTTTGACGGGTCAGTAAATGTGGTAGGTAGGTAGGGTTTGATTGGTAGGATTGCATTTTATTTATTGTGAAAGGGGCCCACCTCTTTGATTGGTATTGTGTAAAATTACCACAATATCCTTAATGAAGGTATAAGTTTGACTTTTTTAGCCATTAGATCATCCGATCTAATGACTACGTTTCATTCTTATTTCTTTCACTGGACACCATTCTTATATGAGATCATATAAGAATGGTAGATAGTGAAAGAAATAAAAATAAATCTGTACCATTGAATCTATCAAAACAACGATCATGATCATGTCAAATGTTATTAATAACAGTCAAATATGTGATGACATTCTTGTAATTAAGTGTACAGGATAAAATAGACATTACACAAAAGTACAACTCATCCACCTATACAATGGGCCCACCTAAACCCACCCAACTTGGTTTTTCTCACACACATTAAGACACACACACATTTCACACAAATACCTGTTTCACCAATTATTTTGACACATATTTCTCAACACACTTTTTGTGGATCCTAAAATAGCATTTAGAGCATTCGAAGGCGATCTTGTCGGACTCCCTGATGTGTTCCCCACAGTCGCCACAACGATAACCATCGACTGAAAGTGCTCGAACTGAGGCGACCGGACAGTCGTGGCAGCCCACACGAACAGTGTAACCGAGCTTGATCTTGGAAAGATGATCAAAATAAGGAATGCAACGAATGTGGAAAGAGTGGTCACAATAGGTGCAGCTGTAGTACCAGCAACTCTTATCTATGTCCATTTCACAGATCTCACATAACAACATTTGTTGCTCATTTTCACCTGTTTCATGACCGTCTTTCTTGGTGGTAGCGACTAGCTTTAGTGGGTGGCGGTCGAATTTGTGGACGACCCTGTTTGGAAGGAGGGCACAATTGGCGTGTATAAAGAAGTTGTGACAACTATTGCATTTGTAGTACAACCCAATACTCAGTCCCTTTCCACAACAGTTACATTTTTTGTGTGGGTCACGTAAGTGTGAAATGAAAAGAATGTGTGTCCTTGCGTGTGCGTCATGCGTGATTGAATTGGGCATATTGGCACACACAACATCCGACAACGGGCGGTTATTATTATAATAGGCTGGTCCATTGCTTGGACGAAAGCAAACGTTGCACTCGAATATATTAATTGGAGATGTGTTTAGTTTCAGTGATAGGCACAACTGTTGTTTGGTGGATTTATATGAAGTGGTAGGAAGACGTACACAAGAGCTATGGAGAACGAAATCTGTACAACTAACTTCGCTATTCTTGTTGTTGTTGTTGTGATCACCATTATAATTGTAAATGCAAGTGTAATATGGACCGAACGGAGGTATAATTTGAATGCACGCATTGCAAACACGAACGATACCATCTGCATCAAGAAGAATCAGACCATGCTTGTGCAGGCTGCTCTTTTCAAATAATGATGATTTGCTATCATCAATATTAGTAGTATTATCATCGCCATCACAGATGCTAGCACCGCCACCATCATTTGTATAACTGGTCTTCATTATACTTGCCATCACACTCGAGTATTCATTTTCCATTGGAAGATGAAGCAAGTTGGGAACTTGTGCATTCCGAATCAACACTGCAAATAAAAAAGATAGGAGAGTTTAGAAACTTTTTTTTTTTCTTTTATTTTTTCTCTTAAAAAATACTAATTGAACAATATGAAAGCATATAAATTTTATTACCTGACTTGTGTTGAAATGGTTTAATAGCACAGTTGATATGAGCATCAAACCAACAATCGTGACATTCATAGTACCCACATTCATAGCTCTCACGTTCACGTTCATAGTACTCTTTAAACATAATCCTTTTGCAAATGTAACATACATAATTTCGATAAAAATACCCCCTAGAATAATATTGTAGCAGAAGGGGATGGCGGTGATGTTGGACCACAATGGCATTGGGCAAAATCGCACAGGCTTGATGGATTTGGAAATCACAGTCGGCACACTCGTAGCACAAAACCCACTCATCCCTCGTGGGACGTTCGTGCACACACCCACATGCATAGCAAGTGAAGGAGCAACCCCTCCTCCTTTTGACCGTCAGCCTGTGCCTGTGGCTCCTGTGTAGGACCCTTATCGGCCAGGCACACTTGAGGTCGAGCGTGAAGTTGCAGTTTGAATCATCATCGGGACATTTATAGAAAATAGTCCCGCACGTCGACCCGCATCTTGCACATGAAAGTCGAGCATCGAGGGGTGTGGATGGGTGTTGGTGGTGCAAGATGAGGTCCCCTTTTGGGTGAAGCACGTGTCCCTTCAATTTTTGGGGGAACTCGCCCGAGCATTCATCGTGCATTATCGGCCAGGCACAGTTGAGGTCGAGCGTGAAGTTACAGTTTGAATCATCGGGACATTTATAGAACATAGTCCCGCACATCGACCCGCAACTTGTGCATGAAAGTCGATCATCGAGGGGTGTGGATGGGTGTTGGCGGTGCAAGATGAGGACCCCTTTTGGGTGAAGTATGTGTCCAATAAATTTTGGGGGGAACTTCTTGTTGTGATCTCGATTGAAGGGAGTCAAGAAGATAGGCAAAAGGCACGCGCTGCACGTCAAAGAGTTCCCATCGTCCAGATCGATGTTGTTTCCTTCTTCAGCATCCCAATCGAAGTGATCGGTTTCTGTTGATCTTCCAGAGTATGATAACTGCTGGCTTCCTAACGACATTTTTTGTTCTTAAATATATATATATATATATATATATATATATATATATGTGTGTGTGTGTGAATTTATTTTGCTGGGTGTTGTTAATGGGGATAGCTAGCTCGGGATATGAATAATTTGTAGCATGCACTAACAACATATATAACATGTGCATCAAAGTCATAGCTAGCGTGAAAAAAGAGGAAGAATAATATAAAATATTCCTCTACAAATAAGTTAATCAACGACACTATAATAAAGGCATATTGCTCCTTTTGGTGATATATATGCTGATGCTTGCCTCCAGTTATACTTCAACCATATTATTCTTTTTTTTGACATTAATGTATAGAAAAACATATATATTATCATTTTATATTATTCTTCCTCTTCTGCGACATAAATTAATTAATTTGTGATAGATGTGATAGTCATATAATGATTGTTATTGATAACCGACTTCTTAACATTTAGGAATCAGAACTTACATATATTATCATTGTACTTTATCTATCTATTTATTTATTTATTTATTATTATTATACTATTATAAAAGAACGAGTAATTTTGTAAAAATAATGATCTGCCTAAAAAACCCTTACTTTTACATATTTTTAATGGCAAATTAATAATACTGTAATACCCATCTTATTTTATAATTTTAATTAACAAATGAACTACCTAAAAAACTATTACTTTAACTTATTTTTTGTAATATCCCATTCAGTAATTAATAAAAGTAATTATTTTAGTTCTAAGTTTGAACTAATTACTTTTATTAATAATGTTCATTCCTAGTTTCGAGCCCATTTATTAAGTTATTCAGTTAAAAGTTCGACTTTAAGTTGAAAGTATTCTCGGTTAAATTTTATTTAGTAATCGAGCCAGTTCAGTAATTAATTAATTCCGGTCTGTTTATTTTTATAAATGAATTTATAAGATGAGATTAATTATAATAAGATGACGAATAATAAAAATCGAGTATATTTTGATTACTCGTTCAAGATAAGTTGTGAACCGAACCAAGCATGTTCGGTTACGAGTTAAGATTATTACCGAGCAAATGATTCTCGAGCCTAGCTTAGTTTTGAGTATTGACCAAGTTATAAGGATTAATTAGACATTAATGTTTATTGAAGTGAAATAAGTTATTTAAGATGAAGTTCAAGTTCAAGTAACATTCCATTTTATTTAGCTAAATGGATGTAAATTTGGCCATTTCTAGTTTGAATGAGAAAGAAAAAGAATAATGAGTCGAGACAAGTTAGGTCTCGAGTTCGGTTAAGTATCCATGAACATTTAAGTTATAAATGTTCAAAGAAGTGAGAAAATTTATTTAGACATTTTAGTCTATTTAAATTATTAGAGAGAAATATGAAATTTTTAGAATTTTCGTTTTTTCGGTTTTCGATTGTAGTCGGAATTTATGTCCGATTTAAGTTCCGAGAAATAAATTAAATTATTTTCTCTCTATATTTTTAGTAGCCTACAAGATAAGAAAAAAATTTCAGCATAAAAAGGAAAAATGCCAAAAGAAAAGAAGAAAATTCGAAAATTGTAAGAATTTTCGATTTTACGGTAACTGTTCGTTTTAAGTCAGAATTTGGTTCCGTAAATTGGAGAATTTTCACTAAATCTCTAATTTAATCATTGAGATCAGATTAGGATAAAAAGAGGGGCCTTTCTAAAGTTTGACTATGGGTTGGAGAAGTTTACAAGATAAGAATACTATTTATTATCTATATTTATTTTTACAAGTTTACATTGTTTATTTTGTTAATTTCTTCACTCAATTATGATGTCTTGCAAATTTTGCCTATAAATAGAGGCCTAAAACTTAGAGTTTTTACACCAAAGAAAAGTTTCAAAAGTTATATAAGTTTATAAGAGAGAATAAGTAGTAGAAATTTTGGTGGAGTGAAGAATTTGAAGTGAAGAATCAAGTTTTTATTCTAGCAAGAAGGAGGTAATTTATTTATCTTAAAGTTACATGCTTATGTTCATGTTTTGATAATGAGTTTACATGTTTAGTAGATGATATTAAGTGTTTAATAATGTTTTTAATATGACTTAGATATTAAAGTTTTATATGAATATAAATATGATAGAAAATAAGTTATTTCCAGCTTATATATATGTCATATGTGTTCAGTTATGATGAGAATTTTACCTAGCTATGAAAAATCTGGAAATCTATGCTTCCTATGGTTATTTCATGTGTAAAAGAGGAGTACATAGGAGCAAGAATCAAGTCATTTAGTTTAGTATAACTCAAGATATGAATTTTTAAAGTTTATCATGCAAGCTGAATTTTATGTACTTGTTTCCAGCAGCAACTTTAAACTTGAATAAGTCGAGATATATGCATGATAAAATTATGAAATTTTTATGACATGTCTAAATATAAGTTGAGATTATGACTGTTAAGTTTCATAATTTAAAGATGAGAAATGAATAAGTTATGAATATAAGAAAGCATATATGTAAAGATAAGTATATATGCAAAAATATTCATGAAATGTTTAAGTTGTTAAAATGAGATGATCATGAATAATTCTCATATAAGTGATGAGTAATTTGATGATGTTTTGGTATAATATGTTGAGTATACAATTTTAAAAATTGTATTAAGTATGACATATTAACATCATGGTTAAATATTATGAGTAAAAGATTATTATGGCTTGAGATTATTTTCACTTTCAATTTAATTAAGTGAAAATTTAGTATAAGCCAATATCTAAAAATTGGGAGGTATGATGTATGATGAATTAAGTATTTGATCAAGTTAAATTAAGATAAATTATAAATCATGTTGATGATGTTGGTAAAAGAAAGCATGTTTTAAGTTTAAATACTCAATAAAGTATAATGTGAAATATAGTTATTTTCACATTTGAGTTATGACATGTTAAGTATAATACCATATTGATGTTTATGAAGACATGATTTATAAGGTTGAGTAATTGACGTTAAGTAAAAGTAAAAAAGAGAAGTTAAGTATAAACTTGAGAAAAAGCAAGTTTAATGAATTTCTATAAAATTTGGATAAGTTAATAATCCTAAGATTCTTATTGAGTATACGAGCTTAGTACTTAGTATATTTGTTTATATTTGATGTAACTTGCAGATATAGTACCAGTACAGCACTTATCGTTTTCAAATGATTTCAAAGACAAAAAGGTGGGGACCCTGAATGGGTATCACGTTGAGTACGATATTGATGTCATATGGGATGAGGAGACCATCAGTTGTCTCAGAGTATATCCTAATGTTTAAGTTTTACGCTTAGGATGAGGAGGCATTAATTTGTTCTCAGAGATTATATCCTAAGTTCTGATGGAGGCCATTAGGTGCCTTAGAAATATCTATCAGAGTGTGCACACGTATCCGATCAGATATCGGCCAAGTTTCAGTACCAGAACAGATTTCTGGTTACCGATCAGATATCGGTTTATGATTATCCATATTCGTTTCTCACCCCCATGAGTTTTAGTTTCAGGTAACAGGTCGAAGAGGAGGTGTGAGTGGAGCAGTGTTGGTGTAGATCGTGGACTCAGATGAAGACAAGCTTTGATACGGACATTTATAACAGTCTGTATAATTAGCCACGTTTTCAAGTATTTCCGCTATGCACATTAAGTATTGAACTTGCATTTTAATGAATTTCATATTTCAAGTTTTTACCATTATGAGAAATATGATTATGAGATTTTGAATGCAAGTTTAAAGGAAATCTGTTTGATTTATGTCTAAAGAGGTATTAGACAAAAAGTTAAAGATAAACGGATTTTCAAGATGATGAGTTTGAGTAGCATCTCGAGTTAGTCGCAAAAGATTTCGAAAGAGTTAAGTATTTTCGAAGTAAAAGTTGAGAAAAATTTACTCTGATAAGCGGGGTGTTATAGGTGGTATCAGAGCTAGAGTTTTAAATGCTCTGTATACTAAAAGATTAAGTTTTGAAAGGGAAAGTTTTCAGAGAAACCAATGTTTTTACAGAAAATTTCAAGAAAACCCGACCACACCACGCTCACACCTCGTCAACTACCAGGTAAGTGCTGTTAAAAGTTTTATACAAGTTTTTCAATATATTCAAATTTACTAAGTCTATGCTCAATAAGAATTCATATATATGAACTCTAGAAATTTGTTATATGTTCAAAATCTAGTTTATCAAATTGACTAGATTAAGAAAGAACTCGAACATTCTAAGTAAGCCATAAGAATAAGATTTAAGTTAAAGATCTGATTATAAAGATTGACGATCTATTTGAGCCAAGTATAAGAAGTAACGGTATTTCAGTATATAATAGCAAAAAAGTACGGGGAACATCATGGGGGTTTGAAATAAGAACCAAAAGCCGGATCAGATCCTGTAGGCTTGAAAACTGAACCGTAAGAAATAAAGTTTCAAGAAAATAGTCAATTTTTATAATATCAAAAGTTTTGATATCTTATCAGTTAGATATCATGAGTTAAAAAGTGGCAAAGTTCGAGATAAAGTTATAACTTATTTATATTAGTACTTGTAGAATAAGAAAAAAAAATCTACAAAGTACTTTTCAGAAATCAATGAGTATAAAGATTAAGGTATATCGACATATAATAGTCATGTAGCCGAGAAAATTATGGAAACCTGAAATAAGGGTTATTAAGTCCGAATTTCCTGGAGACTTGTAATCGAACCTTAAAAGATATCAGTTAATAAGTAACACATTCCAGATATCGAGATAAGTATTTAAGTTTCTCGGAAGAATTTTTGAAGTTAAGCAAGAGTAATCTGGACATGTGAAAGTTAAAGATAGTCTTTTTAATAAAGTAAAGACTAATATGTTTTTTGGTTAAAGTATTTGTCCCCAAAGATACATGATGAGTTTAAAGCCATAAATAAGAAATGACGAGAAAAAGCAAGAAAAAGATAGATTAACTGGAACTCTAGCACAAGCTAGGTGTTTTCGCAATATTAACAATTTCCTTAAAGTTTAGTATAGCTATTTATTAATGGTATTACTGTTCAAGTC